TGAATGATAGATTTTTTAGCTAAAATCTTCAGAATCTTTCTTTCTCAGTACAAATGTTTTGTATGAGTGTGTACTTAGATTAAAATGATTAGTCTACTAAACCTGACCAAAACAAGACCCAAACACAAAACTTCTGACATAGTACTCTCTATCCCATAATGCCCCATGAAGAAGATGAAGGAAAAAACGTCAGAGATTAGCCGTATTTCTTAAGGTCCTATTAGAAAGCCAATCTAACACAGTGGTTGGTAGCATGAGAGCTAGACATACGTAGAACTTGAGCCCTTTGTGATGCCCCCCTCCAAGAGTCTTAATATGATCCCTGCCTGGGCAGCACCCATTTTGTCACATGGACCTGGGAGAAAGCTGCAAGTGGGGAACTGAGCAGCTAATCACCCTGTTAATTTTGGGTTAGAACTGTATGGTCTTTGAAATTTTAGTCATGGTGCTCTGAGCAAGGAGACGTTTACTGTCTCGAGTGGTGCGTTCATCCTGCCAAGGAGGAGGATCAGTTAGCCTGCAGAAAGCTCCATATTGCCATGTCCAGGCTGTTTCTGACATTCAGGCTTGTACGGTTACAGCTAGCTCTCTTTATATGGCATAGTCTGTAGCGTTGATTTAATTTTAGACTAATAACTATTACCTGAGGGGGCTTATCAGATATCTTTTTAATGCCCATTTCTCGTATCTCAGCACTTAGGGAAATGAAATCAACACCGCCTACCTTATGTGTTTCAATTATTGTGAAGTTTGGTTTTATTTTTAGTTCTTCTTTTGTTCCTCCTCTTATCCAGGCTCATGAAGTGAATCTATTTCATCTGCTTATTTGACATGGAACTCGCATGGAAGTCTAACACAAAGTGCAAATTTTGGTGCAACTAGAGATTTTGTTTCATATGATCTACATTTAGAGGTCAAAGAAAGGTTTAGAACATTTTTACAGTATGTGTTACGAAGATAAACCGAAAACTAAAATTGATTGTTTTCCTACTCAATAATCAACTTGCATTAAATAAAACTGATACTCATTACTGAAAATACTTAAAACTCAGATAATCCTATCAGTCAAATAATTTATTAGTGCAAGACAAGGCAAAGGCTGTCACAATTCATAGAGTCATGGTAGTACTTCATGTCAGAATTCTGACTCAACGCAGATCCTAAACAGTAGCTATAACATCTGATTTCCTAGTTTTTTAACAAGTAGATGGAGAGAATTTTCTGTGTTTTACCTAAGCCATTTTTAATGATCTTTTTGTCTCCACTTTGACGAAGGTAATTATCTCTTCGTGATCTCCCTATTATCAGTTGCAATCTCCTTTCTTCAGCGCTAGGAATCCAGGGCAATGAAGAACAGTGAAAAATTCCAGTGAAACCTTGATTCACATTTGGAAAATTCTCATGTATCTGAGCTTGGAGACTTGATCTGGGGGGGGATCTCATGCCCTCCTGGATTAGAGTCACTATTCTGCTTCGCTGAGAAATTACATAAAGTATAGTGGGAGTGTTCATAATTTCTACTTCCGGAGTTTAAAACCACAAAGCCAGACATACTGTATGAGGCTGGTCTGCTCACACTTGTCTGGCACCATCATTTCCTCTGGGAAAATGGCAAGAGCAAATAGCAGCTTGCCTGGTTGCATGTAGGCGTGATACTCCTGAGAACATATAATTTGGCACCACGTGCGAGGGAAGTTCAAACATCCTCAAGCTATGAGTAGTTGACAACATCTCTCAGAATAGACGTATAAACTACCTAAAGCAGTTTTGATGCTATCTTATCTCAACATTACCTTCAGAAACTGTAATTGTTCCCAAATTACTAAGTCACCCTCACTGGGGAAATATGCTTACAGCAGAGAAGGTAAGCCACTTAACCTTTGCATCCGCACCTCTGTAGGCAGAGGATAACAAAACTTGCCAACCTCATCAGGACCCTGGGAAAGCAAAGCACACCTAAACTTTGATGTGCTTGTGTATTATTGCCCCACAGTGGCTATGTTTACAAAAGGTGTAATTCTCAGAGTAATGGCAAATAATAAAACATCTGACATTTCAAATAATAGAAATTACTCAGCCAGATCATTAACTGTGGAAAACAGGCATTGCATTCAGAGTGATTCCTTTTTACGCTTAGGATTTTGAATGTGAGTGACATAGCTGGCGGTGTCACACCTATATTACTGTTGACAGACTTGTCCCCCCTTTCTAGGAGGCTGAATAGAAGTGCAAAGTATCACTAATGAATTCAGAAGGAGGTAAATCTACAGCCTTCCAAGAGGTAAATCTACAGCCTTCCAAGGCCTCTCAAGAGTGAGAGTCAGCAAGCAAACTTTGGCTGCAACACAGAATATTTGAGAGTTGTTAATAAAGAGGATTAGGATGGTAGGGATCTTCTAGGCTTAACAAATGCCTGTGAATGTAATGTTCACTAGGACTCGAAGGCAAAAGCTCTACTGTAACTTGGAATCCACACAGAGGGAGAAGAGAAAGCAGTCCAGGTTCAAGTTACTCATTTGATTGCACGTGGCCCTGTTTTCAGCACTACCCCCAGGGCTTTACCTGATCTATCCAAACAGAAGATGTGTGCCCTTCCCACCCTGCAATCATTCATACATAAACAACCTCTAAATAGTTTTCTGACTGTTCTGCCAATTTCAGCTCTTCTTGCTTATTCAGTGCCTGCTCTCCTGCCAAAACAACAAACTGAGCTCGTGTGGGTTGCGGTTGGGGGCAGAGGCAGGCAGCAGCCGTCTGTTGGTTTCCTTTGTTTTTCACGTTGCTGTTTGGCCTTTCCTTGGGTGGAATCCAGGGAATAGATCATTGCTGGTTCCATCATGATACAGAAGGAACAGACATCACTTTTCAAACAATGACAGCTTTATGAAGCTTAACTGTCTCAGCCAAAATCTTGATACTATCTTCAGACATGCCTTTCTTCCCAGTCCCTGCAGGTGACTGCAGCTGGCAGTAGACCTCTGACAGTCGGATTCTGTATGTTATCTCTGCTGGACCAAGCTTTTAAATAATTGGATAGGAAGATCTGGGAAAGAGATATGCTATTTCAAGGCATAAATAATGTAGTGCTGAGTGCTGCAGAGAACCTTTATTTAATTTAGTTCAATTTGGTTCAAACATGGTCATCTGGTTTGGCTTGCAAACAGGATTTCTGGAGATGTATGTTCAATTTCTTCTTAGATCACCGATAGTCATGTACAAATTACTTCTCACTCCTTTCTTTAGCAGTACAGTGGGAATGATAAAATGTCCTGATTTACAGGGACGGGACATAGGAGTAACAGAAAGCAAAAGTATATTAGTTTGTGAGATTTTCTAATAATAGGGATCCATATAAGTAACTAAAACACAGGACTGAAATGGCAACAGTAACTGCTACTAACGGAGAATTGTGGAGAGCGTTACGTGTTGTCATATCGAGTCATACAACAGTGAAATCCATCCCTGTAAAGAAAGCCATTGTAGACCAGGCAAAGTAAAAACTATTTAAGCTCTTAAAGTTGAAGTGGAACTTAAGATTTGGGGCACTCTGCCTGACAATTTCACCATGAGGAAGTTTAATTCTTCAGTTTGCTTATTGTCACTGTGATGATTACGCAGAGCTTCATCTTAGGCCACGAGACGTTTTTGGTAGTGATCAGCCTCATGTTTTAATCTGCATATACTAACCCAAGGCTATTTCTTTGCTTCCAACACACCAAAATATTTAGCTAAACAAACAAACAACAAAACACACACACATTCCCCTTTGCCTTTTCTGTTTCCCCGCCCTTTTTTACACAGGGGCAATTGCAACTACGTGGCAGCCTCTTCTGGAATGCAATCTGGGAGGTGATTTGATTTTGCTGTGTAAGGAGGAGCGTACGATTCTAGTAGCGACAGCATCCTGCCAGCTAGCAGTGCTACCAGCGTATCAGCAATGCTGATCAGTCTGAGGACTCTGAGTTCCCTAACAGCTATGGATCTGAGAGCGTAAAGAAGCATTTGACAACTTGACCTACGGCATTTTTAGGACATCTGCTCACTTCCCAGAAGTCTGGGAAGCTTCTGGATTCTTTGGCGTCTGGTTGAGCCAGGGAGATAGATTAACTGAAGGACTGTTACTGTTTTGTCTTGGGTGAGGCCTTCTGGGCAGCCAGCTGTTTTATTTTGTAAGTTGCACAAAAGGTTGCTTTAAAACAGTGTGTTCTGGGTATGAGTTGGAAGAGAGCAGTTAAGCTAGGGGATATTTTCTTTCTTTACACAGCAATCTTCACTAGCCAAAATTGTTGGCAAAAGCAGACAGAAGAGAGATACTCCCTAAGAGTAATGGTAATACACGTTGTCCAGTCATGCAAAGTTTAAGCCGGAAGGGTCCAGTCTGCTATGGTGCTAAGGGCCTCATTTTACAATTAGTTAGGTGACTTGGAGCACTATACGCTGAACAGTTCTGAAAGTCAGGATCTAAAACCCTGCTGTTGTAGCTGGAGTAGAATTAGCATGCTTCTGCGTACATGGTAGGCTGCATTGTCTTTAGTGGGTTTCTCCGTAGACAAGTGTTCACCTGGAAATAAATGCATATCTGATTGCAGATACTAGATCATTGGTGTTTTGCATGCTGTACAGGACAGACTGTAAAGTCTTCCTCAGCTATGCTCAGATCATCATTTTGTAATGCAAACAGCATTTGCATTGTAGCTCAATTCTTGCTCTCTTTCACATATGAAACCAGAAAAATCATTGTGTGCTGTCTGCAATATATCCCTTCATACCAAAGCCAACTCAGAATAGAAGGAAAAGACAGTTTGCTCTTCCAGGTATGTCTTTTTAAAACGTTTTTGTCTAATTCTGTTAGATTCCAAGAGAGCATTTAATGGATGTGTAGCGTGTTACATGATTGCCTCAGTGTTTCTATGTTAACACTTTTATTGTTCCAGTGCTCCATGAGATAGGAAAGCCTCAGAAGGATAGGACTTCCTCAGAAGTCCTGGGTTACAAATGAGAAAACAGCGGCACAGAACTTACCCCATAAGACTCCTCTTAGGCAAAATTCCCACATGGGAGGAGTTCAGTGCTTTCATTGTCCTTGCCTCAAACCACTCAAATCAGTGAGGGTGAGCAAAACATGTGGGATCATGTCCGTGCTGGGGACAGGAGGCAAAGCGATATGAGTTGAACTGCTTGCTGTAGCTCCCGCTTACTTCAACCAGAACTGTGAGCGCATACTTCTCTTGAAAGGCAGGTCCTGACTGATCTGGCAATTAACGTCCTCTGACTGCTTGCAAGAAGACTGCCAGTGGACCTCCAAGTTACGTGGTCAATTTGTTTTCTTCCTGCCTGGACAGTAGGGAAGGAATGTGGTGCAGTAGCAGATATACCACTCAGTTTGGGGTACCAAAGAAGGCACTGGTGTGTAAGTTATAACCTCCCTTTGCTTTCTTATGCAAACAATAATGAATAGAAAATATAATTGATAAGCATATTAATAAGTTAATGATTAACGTACTTAACAATGTTGGCCTTCAGATTACCATTAGGAGGCATTTGAGCTAGTAGACAGGTCTCAGAATTCGTGTTCCAAGTTCTGTGCAGACCAGTCTCTTTACTGATCAAATTCTTGGGGTTTTCCTCACAACTGTTAAGAGCTAGAAACTTTGCTCTTTAACAGCACATATTGCATGCGTTGTGTGGCAAGGTTAAAGTCCATGCTGCTAAAAAGAAATGTAGGTATCTCAGGTTTCTCTGGGTTTTCAGGTTTGTTTAGAGATTTTTCTGATGCAACCCATTGAAAAACAAACTCATAAAGAATTTGGACAGAATCCCAAACTGCAGATGAACAAGCTTTAAACCCTAAGACAATATAAACAGAAGAACATTCGGTGTGTTCAGGCCTTTGTCCTAAGTTTACCTAGACGGTTCCAAACTGTTTTTGGTTTTGCTCTCAAGTTTCTGCGTCTAATTATACTCACCTGCATCTCACTAATCTGTTACATAATGTAATGTAACATGGGAAAATCACACCAGTATAATTTAAGATGTAATTTAAATTGTCAGTTTAGCTAGTGCTGTGATGGTGATCCTGTATCTTCAACTCCTCCATTACTCTACTGCCTTCCGAGGAGACTTAGACTCAAACTTGCTAAACAAATGCCTCTTTATATCCCAGCAACTTGTGTTGTCTGCCTGTAACTCAGGCCTTTCAAGTCAGTGGTAGATCCCCCTCATGACTTGTGGGAGTCCCACAAGTGGTATGCAGTAAGCCTTCCAGCGGTTTGCCAGTTATCCCGCAAGTCATGGATTCATTATGCTGAAAAAAGTGCTGTATTTCATATCTATCAGATGTGTAGAATCTGCTTTATCACTAGACAAGACTTAAACCATATGTTTTAAATAAGAACAGAAATTTTTCAGTAACAGAGAAAGTTGCAAAAAGCTATAACAAGATGTGTCATTAAGATTATGCTTAGCAATAAAGACCCTTCATAGCTACTCCAGTATCTCATCCATATTCTGAGGCTGACTTGACTGATTAGTTTCTGCAGTCTATATCAGACCTGGTACACATAGAAAATTTTAGAGCTATGTTTTTCCTGTTCCTATTGATGAAGACGGTTCTCAGAGCTGTCTGGAACACCTATTCTAGGTTAAAGCATAAAGTCTTGTCATCTACCCCTTGTAATACTTTCCCTTCTTACTTTTGTGATAGGACTCTCGACATTGTATGTTAATTAAGGAGATCAGGTCATTTCTGCACACTACTCTCTTTAAAGTGCTTCCTTGATTAACTTTTCTGTGGTACTCTTGGATTAGAATACATTCCTGGCTTCGGCTTTGAATTCTTTTTTTCTTCTCAGGCATCTTCCAACAGGGCGCAAATCATGACTTATAAATATGTAATGCACAATTCCTAAGTAATTTACTACTATCATAATCTCATTTGAAAATGCTACTGGAATTAGCTCATTTTTAGCAATTTTAGTATAATGCTTAGAGAGAAATGGATGGCAAAACTAGGAAGTGGGTTTTATAGACAGACAATTTCAGGAACAACTCCTGTTAGTTTTAGGGGCCTTTTTGCTCCTGAGCTCCTCACCCCTCTGCTTAGCAAAGAGATGGGAGAGTTTAGCCACTATCTCAAATATAGTGCTCAGGCATTCTTCAGTTTGCCTATGTGTGTAGGACTGTGTATAGGAGTGTACAGATCTCATACCCTTACACTTCTGGTGTAACTTGTTTGAGTGTATTTACCTCTGTAAGACTTTGAACTTGGTATAGAATAAATGTGGTCTCAGCACAGTACACAGACCTATAATACAGTCCTCCTTGCATTAAAACTGTCCCATATCTGACACAACAGTACAAAGTTCAAGCAGTTTGCTGAGGGCTGAACTGGACTTTTCTGATACGATTTTCTTTATCTTATCAAAAGTCTCCCCAGTGAGCCAGGTGAGTCCAGGCTACTTCTTGGTCTTTGGTTCTTTGGCTCGGTCTTTCTCTTCTCTTCAGTATACCATGCTCTGACTACCATTCTCTGTTTTGCTGATTGGTTTTTCTGTGATCATTTTTATCTGCGATGACATATTAGGAATGTTTTGGGTCAGGAAACTCACTCACTTAGTGTGTTCTCTGAGTAAAATCTCTCTCTTTCACATTTTCCTAGTTCTTCCTCTGAGTGTAGCCACAGAGATTTTGATTGCCATGTGTACTTTGCCTGGCCTTTTGGGATTCCCTGCCAACTCATTTCCTAAGAACAACAGAAGACTAAACTTGTTTTAAACTTCCCACTGTTACCATTTCTACATCCTCAGAATGATAATTGTATATTAAATAGCAAGTGCACCTTTGCAGGGATAGTCACATGCGCAGTAGGCACTATTAGCATTCCTGTAGGGAAGGAGTATCTTGTTTCAGCTTTGGTAAAACTCTTCCTCACAGACTTCAGCAAAACAAAACAGGTACTAGAATAAGAGCACTCACATCACCTCCAGCAGCAATTTAATTTCAGTGGTTGAAAACCGAGCCTTAAGATACAGAAATGTATCTTTTATAGCTCATGCATATCATGCATACAGCTCCCCAGATATAGGCAGAAAGCCTGTCATCTCATCACAGGGAGACAAATTGGATGAGAGGTCAGAAACATAACCTTATTCCTTTGCTGAGGCTGAACAAAATTACCCTTACATCATGGTCTGGGAAGTTATCACTGGGACAAGTGCCTTTTCCTTGAGGGCCTGTCACGTGGACTTAGTCCTGCTTGGACTGTAAATTTGGCCCGCTACATTTCCTAGAGCTCTCTGATACGAGAAGTGTAGATTAAGGTTTAAAACTGTCATGCACAGTTCACCCAGTTTTAAATGGGGTGAGTGAAGTGCATGTTGATTGTTGGCCTGGGACTGGTACAGAATGAATCGTAGAATTATTTTCATACGTTTAGCCAGTTGTATTCCTCGTTATGTGTGGCTAGTGGCTTCTTGTTCTGAAAGGCCTCTCTTTAACCAACTTACTTCCCATCTGACCTTATAAGGCTGCAATATGTATCTGAAAAATCCATTTAAAAAGAACTGAAATACACTCCTATTATATATTAACACATGTCCTTGTAAAGAAAGGCCGTGATCTGCAAAAGCTAATAATTGACCAGCTTGCGGTACCATAATATTTGATCTATATATTTTCTTTGCACAAGGCATGCAAACACCTTGGAGGGACACTAAAAAATTCTGCAAAATACTCATACAGAGTTTAAATAGGCACATTTTAAAATGTTGAGCAATGATTATCAGTGGTTATCACCAAAGGCTCCAAAACTCTTCTGTCTAACAAAAGAGAAAATGTAGATTATACAGGTTAATGGTAATGCATGAAAAATAGGTTTACTTTGGCTCATTATAAGAATACAGAAAGAGCTGAAGATCTAATGTGATAAAGAAGCATGAAAAGACTGGCTTGTGGTTTTCTGTTTCTCACAAGAAGCAAGTTCAGCATTTGATTTCAGGAAGTTTCTGAGGGCTCCACTAGGTGCTCAATGTTTACCCAACTGTGTTGGCAAACCACTGCAGAACTGGAGCTTAATTGTGATATTTGAGTCGGAGGAGAAACTCTTAGTGACTTGCATTGTTTTGGGGGAGCAAAGGAGACGAAGAGGACCATGCATTCCTGTGTCAATCCCAGGGGCAGAGGGTATGTAGCCTGAGACTCCAGTGTCCTTGGGCAGCTGAGAACTGATTTGGCCTCCGGGCAGATGAGACCCAATCCTCATTTGCCTTCCTTAATTTGTGTGTTAATGCTTGTTTGTCATTCAGTGATTGTATTCATTTTCCACCTACTTGAATTGCCTTCTGCCTTGGAAGTATCCCACTTGCAGAGATTTCACACCACAGGACTGTTTCTTTCCTAAAATGCTTTGTGCTATCGCGAAAGGTTTGTCTTCATGACAATACGAGCTAGGGTAATTGATGTTTGGTCTGCTAACAGTGTACATAGCCACATTGCAAAGTCATTTGTGAGTTGCTGTACCTATGAGGGTGCCATAGCTTTGGCTTAACGTACTTCCATGAGGTACTAGGACCTCTGAAGGAGTGTTGTGTAATGTTCAGAGCTATCTTACAGTGTGAGATATTCTTCCCCAGTGAATTCTGGGAGAACACATCTTCCTTTCTGGACAAACATATGTTCTGGGAAAACGTCAGAGGATTTTAAGCATTTGAATAGCTTAGCTTCTGTCCACACTATTTAAGGGTCTAGTCTTTCACTCAGATGAGTCAATTCTTTAGTTTTGGTTTGTAACTCAAGATGAGCTTGATAGATGAGCTTAAAAGCTAATTTGTGGTGCTTTCAATATAGTATTTCTAACTTAGGAGCATCGAGAATTTAGGGTTAGATTTTTTTCCTTTGAATAAGAGAGAAACTGGGGGCAATGTTTGAACAGTATACCAAGTGAATGGCAGGGAAGACTCAGCTGTGGTATCTATGCATTTTAGCTGTGAATCTGACCTTGGTCTTTTGGTAGTCACACCTTGTTGGGCCTAATTCCGAGATTAGTGTTTGCATCATGGGAACATACTCCAATCACCTGTTATTACACATGTCATATATAATCCCTTTCCTAAGTATATTGCACAGATATTTTTTGACCCCAGTTTCTCACTGAAATTCTTCCAGAACTCACTTGCTCTTATAGCTGAAGCGCTTCTTCTAATTCCCATACTAAATGTATACATGCCAGTTTACAGCCATTTGTTCTTACATCAATTTTAGATTTCAGCTTAATTGGTTTAAGTGGGGGCTGAGAACAGTTTCAGAGTCAGGCTGGTGCTTTTTGAAAGACGTCTCTAACCCCAGTGCTCTCCAGTTTTCTTCACAGAGAAAGTACATGATTCCTCCTGCCCAGTGACAGAAATGCTTTGATACCAACAAACGCCTTTAATTTTCCTAGAGCAGTTCTTCAGTTTGGCAGATTCGTTTTAATTCAGTCTTGTAACTGCTCTCTTGCAGTAGATACTAAACAGGAAAACAGCATACACTAACAGGGATCAATTATATTAGTATGTAGTTACCCAGAGGATAAATAACGAAACAGCTTTATTATGAAAAGACTTAATATTTTACAGATAAGAAAATGATATCTTTCCCTCGGCATTTCCATTGAAGCTCTAATTTTCTGTCTGATTCAGTGGTAAACATCCGTGTGAACTTTGATATATTTTTGTTTGGCTATTGGGCTTTCCTCGGCTTCTTTTTTAGTGCTGGTGAACAAAATGTACTAAAAATATTTTTGCTGGAGTTGCCCTAATTTAGTGGCACATCTGTGTTCTGGTAGGACTAAGCCTTTTGCTAAGCAATTACTGTCAGATTCTGAAGAGGTGACTGTGAAAAGTTGTCCCTTTGTCTCCAAATGGTTTGAAATGAAATGACTGGGCTTCCACACCCAGGAGTCAAGCCTTGCTACTGAGTTAAATGATAGCAAAATGGGGCCTTTAGGGATTTTAAGAGTATTGTAATTATTAGTCCAAATCCCAAGAAGTAAATTCTGAGTGGCCAATGCTGAAGAGTGGCATCTGAATAACAAACATGAATATTCCAGAGAATCAAACACATTGTACCAAGTACTTTACATTTTATTTTGGCAAAGAGATAATATTTGTTTAATATGGATCCCGAAGTCCTGATAAAAGCAAAACTTCCGTTATGATAAGAGAGCAGGATTAGTCCTGGCTTTGGTAGTTAGTGGCATGCCTCCAGCAAAAACTATCAGCACTGTTTCCTCACTAGAAAATATAGTTACCTTGGGGCCAATTTTGTATGGAATGCTTGAGACCAATTTGAGATATATATGCCACAGCACATGTGTTTATGTCTGCATATTAGCAATTCTGCATCTTCACTTTGGCATTTCCTTTAGTGAAAAATCAGACCTGTTTATGGTGCATTTTCCATATGGATGGTTCTCTTATATTCCTAGTTAGTTCTATATTATTTAATTACTCGTACCGTGTATGCTAGCCAAAATACAGATGTGTTAGGGCTCTACTTTGGAGTTGCCAAGCACAAAACACTTGCCATTATGATCTTGCTGGATACTGAATACCAGTTTGGACAAGAGAATAATGCACAGCCCAGCTTACTGCTGTGCCACAAAAAAAATCTGTCCCACCCTATCAGCCTCATGCCATCAGGAGTAGTGCTGACGGGCAGAAAGAGGTTTGAGAGGATGGCTGCTCTGACCCTCCTTTCACCCAGGCTGCTGTGGGCCCGTAGCTACTTACCAGCACACACTGGACTGATGCAGCGGGACGCTCACCTTATGTTCAGCTCCATGTGGAAAAGGGTCTTGTGTGCCACAGTAGTGCTGATGCATGACACGCATATTTCACTTAGTTTAAAGACCCTCCCATTTTTCCCACATGCTTTTTTCTTTCTGGTAAGTATCAGAAGTCAAAGAAGATTGAGACCTGATAATTAAGATTCATATTAAATACAAGGCAGTAAGTACCAGGTTATTCCTGTCAGCTGGGATGCTTGCAGAGATACTTGCCGGAAAAATGCAGAAGTTGTTTGCATTTTACAGTACTTTAATCCTCTTGTTTCAGTCTCCCTCCTGCTGTTTATTCCTCTCCAGGATGTAGGTTCTGTTCCTCTCTAGCAAGCGTTTCCTGATTTTAGTCTTCTGTCAGACAGCAGTACCAGTTATTCAGATTAGGAGCTCTGCTGTGTCGCAGGGTTTTAGTAGTTCATTGGCACTGAGCAGTGCCAGATCCAGCTGCTCTGTTAATGGGGAAAGGAGGGGGAAGAGGAGGAGACATAGTGTAATGCTGGCCTCAGTGACACGGTGTCAGCCAGTGTAGGTGTGCCGTATTAGGTGGTGCTCAGGAGATGCTAGTCCGTTGTGCTGTTGCGCTTCCTTTCAGTCCTGCTGGTAAATATATACTTGATGAGCTGTCTTTTGTCTCTAAATTTTGGCTCAAACACATCTCCTCTTCTCTAGTTTGCTGATAGTCTGTAGATACGGACTTCTCAGGGATAGCATCAGAACTTTTTAGGACTTTATCATTACTCTTTTCATGTTCTTTGGCAAGATTTTTGCCAAGAAGGCCTCTTTCTTTCAGTTGAGTTGACAGCTCTCTGTGATGTATTCCAGCTAGTAGAGCTTTCCTCATTGGGTCTTGGCTAGTTTTCTCCCCAGCGTGATCCTATCTCTTACCTTTGGAGGTGTGACTTTCCTGGTCAGTAGAAGTGGATGGCTTTAACATCTGTTCTTTCCAAGCAGATCTTTCTTTTCCCATCCCTTCATGATTCCTGCAAGCAAATGCACCCTATCTGTTTTTCCTTTTGTCCTCCATACTTTTCCAGCTCTTCATGTGAGCTTCTGACCATGTTAGAACAAGCAATACTCCTGCCAGCTTGACTGTAAGCTGATTGCCAAATACAGAGTAGACAAATAGCACACAGGAGGAAGTCAGTTTGACTTAAAATAACATTTAGTACTTCATAAATTCAAGGCTGTTCTCTATGTTCTCCCTGCAGCGCTGAGCACCCTGACAGTAGGGTAGAGTGACTGCCTGTCGCAGAAAGCGTTTAACATGTCTCAAAATTGAGACCTAAGTTGTTATCAGTTACAAACATAAAAACTAATTTTATCTTGTTAGCTTTCTTTTCATGTTGGGGGGGGGGGGGGGGGGATTCTGTAAGAAA